GAAATCACTTAAATAGAACCTGTCTGACAAAGTGAAGCATGCTTAAAGAGCAACACATCATGCCGCGATCTAAAGAAATTCAAGAATAGATGAGAATCAAAACAGTTGACATGTATCAGTCTGGAAAGGATTATAAAGCCATTTCTAAGGCTTTGGGACTCCAGCAAACCATGGTCAGAGCCATTATCCACAAATGGAGAAAACTTGGAACAGTGGTAAACCTTCCCATGAGTGGCCGGCCTACGAAATTACTGCAAGAACGCAACGACGACTCATCCAGGAGGTCATAAAAGAACCCCTCACTTGCCTCAATTAAGGTCAGTGTTAATGATTCAACGATAAGAAAGAGACTAGGCAAAAACGGCATCCATGGGAGCAGAGGAGGACTTAACCATTAGGCAAAGGTAGGCGACCGCCTTGGGCCCCCAAAAGGTTGCTGTGGTGTTCATTACCACGACAACCGTCTGTGCGTCCGCGTTGAACGTGCTTCTTAGCAAAAGTAGGGTGATGTAGAAAATGGGGACGGAATCCCGGAATCTATTCATAAAAGTGGAATTTACTGTGTAACGCGGAATGTGACGGAATGAACGGCGCAGACGCGCGTTTCGTTTGCTATTTAAGCTCGCGCAAGGCTCGCGGTTGTCGTCTGTAGTAGCTAAATAGTATTTTTGCCATTTAATATTCACATACACTAGTCCATATCGCGGTTTGATTGAAGTGTACTGAATTGCATTTGATTTATTCATTCAATATTTGACGAATTCCGTGACATTGCTCATTACACAGTAAACTTCTGTTGTGTAGCATTTTGAATGTACAAAAATTAAAGGGTTTGTTTAATTATCATTGGAATAAAAGATAGATTAGTGTTTTCGCCTTCATTTGATTACCAGAAAAAATAAAATACACAACTTTTTCTAATTTCTAAAAAAATAAGTAAATAAAATTAAAATTTTATAGGGCCCTATTATTGTATACAAATTAATAAATTAAGTTGTTTTTATGAATTCAATTAATTAGATATGTTTTTGATTAAACCATTAAAATGTAATACAGAAAAATTCAAATTAAAAAAAAAGAAAGCGCAGAATTTGGGCCCTAAGAATGTAATTTTTGTTAAACTTTTAATAGGCCTAACTGAATCCAGAAAAATTAAAACGGAAAAAAAAGATTTTGGAAAAAAAAAAACAGGCTAATTTGGGAAAAATAAAACGGATTTCATAGGGCCCTACAAATATCATGCATCTGAAGCTACTATAATTTTAATACTAAGCAACAGTGCATATTATATAGGGCCTATTTTAATTTTTTTGAATGGCACTCACTCGTTTTTGTGAAAGACCCAAGAAGGACCATGCACAGTCACTTTCCACACAGGCACACTTCATGCTTGGTTGAAATAATCCTTAAGCATGTACATTTATAATTTCCTTAGTTTAATTTAAATGTGCAATTAAAATAAATAAAAA